AGTTATTGGAAGGTTCTGCAGACCAGCAAAATGCTCATCATTCGATCAAGTACCCCCCAGTTAAAACAAAGCAGAGAAAAGCACCACAGGTCTCGGCCGCGCCAAAGCCGAAAGTGTGACCGCGAGTTCAGCTTGAGTGTGAAACTGTGCGGATCCTCAGCCGCGGGTTCAAGTTCCTCGTGTTGGTGGGCGAGGATCGAAGGGAACGTCAGAGGAGCTTCCATCGAGAAGAGGCGTGAAAAGCCAGAAAAGCATCGAAGAGGAAATAAAAAAGTCGAGGTTTGCGGCAACCTCCACAAAAGTGACCATCAATAGGCGTAGGCCTGTTGATATCATACTCCCTCCTGGCCGCAATGTTGAGGCCGAGAAAGATCGTCTTGCTGAGCTTAACCAGTTTGCAGGTTGGCCTTTAGGCTTGCCGAAAGTCTCTCTGGTAGGAGCTGCGAGAGCAAGAGCTGGTAGGCCGTGACTCATCGTCTATATGTTGAGTATTGGCTTTGATTGTACAGGAGGTGAGATGAAGAGCAACGGTGCCAACACAGAGCCAGATCGCATGGTGAGATTTTATGACTGCTCGCTCCCTCAGCGTAGTGACCCCGGCACAAAGCCTCGCTATCGTATAGTGACCATCCAGTGTTGTTGCTCAGCATCATCAGAGCTCCTCCGGGATTTCTTATTGAAATACGATTGAATATACTTTCTGGGGCGAGCCGGGAGACCTGGGAGTTGTGAATGATCCTTGCATAGAGTCTTTCGGTCACTTGCTGGAATGTGGTGGAACAAGTCGCTTAAGTACCCTCGCACAAATATGTCGTCGAGAGGAGGAGAGAAAACAACGCTGTATCGATGTCGGGTCAGTTCAACGAACTGAAGAAAGAGATGGAGGCGAGAGAGGAGCGATTATTGCAACTATCGGGTACAGTTGAAGTTGAATGCAAGAGACCAGCCCCTCCTGCGGGAACTCAAGCTGCCCGCAATCGACTCAAAAGGATAACAGGTAACATTGTGTCGACCGAACTCTCCCTTGTTTATATTCATATATATATCGCTTATATTGTATCTCCCTTGTCTAACACCACTCTGCAATCTATGTTCTACTTCTGACTGGATAGGTTTCTTTCACGCCTCACTGCCCTCTTCTCTTGTTGCAGTAGTTATGTGAGGAATAAGCCCATAATTTCGTAAACGCAGTATTGCTGGTCCATTGGTATGTTAGGATATGGGAACATCGTATAACTCTCGGTGATGCTAGTTTGCGATAGTTGTGCCCATTCTCTGTGATGCTGTCTATCCTCAGCTCAGAGGAACGAGCTCCTTCAGCTCGAACATGACCTGCAGCGCCACGCCGAAGACCTCAACACTTTGTCTCAAGCCAAGCAAGCTGTTCGACAATCATGATGTCCATGTGTGTAAAATACTCATTCATGGTGTTGGAAACATTTGTGTTGTAAGTAGCAGAGCACAACTATCGATCGTACTTCAATGAGAGCTTGTTTCAATGTTGAGTAATTTGATCACCTGTTTCATGTTGAAGTTGAGGTTCATACTACGGAACTCAACGACGGTCGTTGATTATGGAACTCATGGAGCTGCTACTGCTATACGATTAGTTCACGGAGAAGCATGAAAGTATATCTTTAGCCACTCAGGTTTTCACAAGTAGAACATCGACCGCCTTCGTATATCATGGCAACTGAGCTTCTTCCGCTTAACAACGGTTCTGGCCATTGTGTGGGTGTTATCCCTCTTTTTTACATCTATAGTAAGCGTACCTGCTAGCGTGAGCTATACGGAGGGTCGTCCGAAGTGTACTATCCCTAAGATCGGTCCCTACGTTGGTCGCAACACCTTTTGAAGGCCGATTTCGCGTTTATGTATGCCACAATCAAGGACGAAGAATAGATGAGCATAGTCGACATTATCTAGGTACCAGATGGCGCATGATCATCATAATTGAAATACGGATGCAGCCTCTCCAGAAGGGCCTCTACAGTAGCGGTCCCAAGATATGCTACAACTTGAAGAAGGAGTGTCTCATGAGAGGATCATCACGATGAAAAACGAGGTGAGATCCCCACCTCTTGTGCGCATTTATTTGATCGGTAGCGAACCTGAGCGATATTGCCGAACCGCTCAACCGTTGCTATTGACTTCGATGTTGAATATATAACTTTATTCTTAGCTTCACCATACTAGCCTCGCTTCATCACCTACCATTCGATCGACTTCCTTATACAACTATCTGAGATAAGTTATCTGCATGGTTGGGCACCAATTCTTGCTCAGTACGACACGTCAGATATCTTAGTGGAATTGCTCGTTGTTCTCACAGTCTTATTATCACATTGCTAGGCTAAAGTTTCGACATGGCCTACGCTGACTAACGGATACACTATGGTGCCATTATACTGTTGTCGTGTCGAAGTTATGTTGACCGAGACCAAACACAGTGCCAAGCAAGAGAGAATTTGGAGGGTGAGAAAATAAAGACCAAAATGACTGGTTTCATAACATAATCTATAAGACTCATACAATGGGATAAGCGAGACAACGACCACTGCTCGCCCCGATAATAGCGCGCATAGAAAGGCCTTCTGAAGAAGCACACGGAGCAACAGTTGCCGCGATACCCATAAACGGGCATATGCAAAATGGGATGAGACTCGCATTGTAGACACTGGAAAAATACGTGCGAACTACATGATTAACCACAGTCCGTGCCCCTCAGAGTGTGAGGCTTACACTCGGCAGCGACAGCGGACCATGCCTGACTCATGCACCACTACATCAAATCGTCTTAGATTGTTCGCGACTTTGGGGACAAGGACCAAGAAGCCGTAGCAAAAGGAGACGAGCAGAGAGAATGTTCTGAAGACTGGAAAACATATCCGCAGATAAGAAAGACTGCGGCGATTGAAATCATGAAAGATTTCAGGCACAAGTCGCCTTAGTGAATCCGATATGTGTTTCGTTCACTGTGAAGTATTTGCCAATGACCGCAGGCAGGCCAAGATACCACAATTCACCGAAAGTCAAGGCCAGCGCGCACTGCCCATCTACGAGTTTGGTCCTCAAACTATTTGGAGAAATCACGAGAGGAGTTTTCCTACCATTCAAACCCTTGAGAAAAAAAGTAATAGATGGCAAGTACTCAATATCCTCACAGTCGACCTTGAAGACGCCGGACTCCTCCCTGATAGCCACATGTTTCAGTCCGGCATTCTCGAGCAACTTCAATACCGGCTGCTTTAAAAAATCTGCTATCTGTATATAACCCAAGCCAGTGGCCAAAAAGGCAGCAGTATCTATGGGAACTTCATCCACGCAATCATCCCCGACGAGAAAGCTCATCATGTCCAGGGCTGGCGGGCCCAGGCCACTTAGCCAAGTCGAGACGTACCTCAACGGACCGTCCTGTCTCATTGGATAATCACCACCAAAGATAAGACGACCAAAGCCGGTAGTATTGAGGTATATCGTGTATTCTCTCTTAGTGACGATTCCCGCTGTCAGGAGCACGTCAATGAATAATGGGTACCGATGAGAGACAACGCGATGCAATGAAAGCCCCAGAGATGCCCAAGGAGTTTTCTCGGGGCTTGTGACCAGGCCAAACGGGACATTTCCCACATTATCAATATGAGCAAGGTGGCTGAACATGGTGACTTCTCTTCCATCGTAGAACTTGTACGTCGAAAGGGGGCCGGGCTCGCATGGTTTGGGAGAACAGCCGAAGCAATGATAAATTAAATTATGACAGCCGCCTGGCTTAACCCTTTCATACTGAGCTCTCCACACAAGGAACGTTCGAGTGGACCCTGTGTCAACTGCAAGGTTTACCTCTTGGCCGTTGGGGTAGAAGGCAACAAGGAGCTGATTCCATTGGCTGCCTAGTCCTGGCTGCGCCACGGAGATTGGCTTGATATACACCTTTTGCTCCTGGGACGCGATTGAAAAGTATATAATACCAAGAAGAGTGAGCGCAGTTGGAATCATTTATGATGGATCTCTACTTCACTGAATCCAAGCTGAAGCAGGCACATCACAACACGGTACGGTATCGGCAAGCGTCACGACGAATGCGCACAATCAAGACAAACGCGCACAATGAAGGCGAATGGCCGCACATACCGGAACCTCTGGCCTCAACACCTTGAGTGGTAGAACATGCCACCAATGTTGGCCCAACAGGTTCAAATGACATGAAAGGCAACTCATCGGGTTAGTTCACTCGAGCCATCACGGTCAGAGCCGTGGAGGAGGTGGTTTTGCTAGACAGAGATACCGCCGCCTGATTGCGCGGTAGCTAGCTTGAAATTTCGCGTGACGTTATATGTTGTAGTTCACCATTGTGTCGTTCTTAGTTGATTCACTCTGAGTACGCACCAGTGTAAACTTAGCACTCCGAGTGGGAGTTTCCCACTCGTCTGTTCGGTGTAGGGAACCGAGAACGGTCATCCTACACCATTGGTCGTAGTTTCGTTGTCTTGCATTAGACATGTCCCTTATACAGTTGCACGCATACGTCATAGGCTCTCCGCGCCTTTGTGAAGTTCTAGCCTAAAACTTCACATAAAACTCCCAGCTTGGGTGTCAATACTGGAACAACATTTTGACACCAGGATAGGTCTGCTGCCAGGAAAATTGCGACAACAGGCACTTTCGCATTGTGCGTGCGTGATGAAGTTTTTTGAATCAACAATTGAGCGTCAAAGCCTCGGACTTCGAGAGCATGGGATGGATCAAACGAGACCTCTATGCTCCGAGGTTCGCAGAAGAATCGAAAAACTCGAGTACGAGCAAAGGCCCGACCGATGGGCCTTACCCCGGCCTAACCTCGCAGAAATGCGAAAGAATACATCATTACGCTCCGGTAACTAACCCGCGGTAAGGTAAGTAACCGCGTGCCTCAAACCATGCGAGCACGATTCCCAGGGAATGAAGTTCTACTGCATTTTCTCAAATGTAATCGAATTTAATTCTGGTTGAAATTTACGCACAGTGTGAGGGTGGGACGGTCGTGTAGATACCAGTAGCAGTAGCTATGTTAGACGTATGATGGTTCCTGTGCTGTGAAGAAGTACCGGAGGATGATCTAGGCCTCAAACGAGGGATTCTAGACGCTCCTAGCGATCCGCTCATAGACTCACCAGACTCTTGATACACACTACGCGTGTTAACCGTCCCAGACTCAGCGCGACAAGATTAACTTAGATCCGATTAGTCACAGATAGTACTCAGATTCAAGACGGCTCGGATCAGTGACACAATCAGTAAGACTCAGAGCGCTTACTATCGATACAGCGAGAATAGCCGTAAAGAGGCTCAGCTGCCTTCGACTCACTAAATGATTGCTCCAACGAGCCGTTACAATCATCCAATCGTTTCAGATGCTCATCATACTTTAGATATTCGGGCGAGCGCGATGCCACTGTGCGCTGATCATCTTTCCCGAACGTGTCATCTTGCCAGTAGCCTTTCCAGTTTCCCGTAAGTTTTCAAGAACTTGCTTGGTCCGAACTTGTTAAATCAGGTGTCTCTAACTTTAAGTTTCGCCAATTTTAAGGGGTTAGTCAATTATTGTTTCGCGCACGCCAGATATTTGCTCCGAAACGCTCTAAGATAGTCGACGCATCGTCATCATTGAATAGTTGATCGAGTCGTTGCATACGTGTCTTGTTGGATAACTTTCACTGTTGATCAGCAGTGCTCTTCTAAGAAGGGCCTTCCTCTCTATTGCTCCCGTCCCCCTAAATTAGGGGGACGGGAGTAATATAGAAGGCCCTAATCCCTATATCGTCCCTACAACTGCTCCCACTGATCCGTCAAGTCTCGTCAACTGGTTATCTGCTCTTTTGCTTGTATCTTTATACACTGCTCTGCGTCGTGTCCCCGATACCCGTGGAGAACAACACAGGTGGACTATCTAGTTCGTCACACACTTCAGTGACAGTTGCGCTCTCGAGTTCTTGATACGAGCAAGTTTGACGGACATTCGCAGTTTATATCAGTTATTGTAATGAATTGTAATGAATTGCGAATGTCCTGAATACTGTATTCACTGGCGAAACACAGCGTTGCTTCCACAAAAGTTTCTGACGAAGGTTCGCCTTCATGCTTTGTTTATGGAGTAAGTGAAGTCCCGAGTCAGTGGGATATGACATGGAGTACTCCCTCGAGTTGATATTTCATTCGAGCACATACTCTCGAATGGTTGTACCTGCTCTGTGAACCTACTGGCTAAACAGTGTCTAGTGATTTTTTCTGAAGTACTGTTGGGTTTATCGCGCTGATGAGGAGACGTTGGCATAGTGAATGCACTCTCGTCCATCTTGAGAAGGATTAATCCTATGAGATTTGCAGTGGGACCTCGGGGTAGGGCCATTTTGAACAGCTGGTGTTTTTGTAAAGTGTATGCTTGTCGATGCCGAAGAAATCGCGTGGTAATAGAAATGGATTGAAGAAAGGGGAAGATATAAAGGAGGTAGATGTGACCGAGCTGGTGGCTCAACTGCAGTCAGATGGTGCGCGGCGCGAAGGTAGTAAAATCGACTTGTCTCGTATTGGAGTTGGATGCGGTTCGCTTATCTGCTGTGAGTGAAATGAAGAGAATCCGCGTGTCGGCAGGCGAGGCACATGATGCAGGAGTCGACATTGTGCAACCTCCGAGTGATAGTGTGAAGAGTCGGAAGAATAGGAAGGAGAAAAGGGTAGGTTCCTGTTGCATTCACCGGGTGAATTCCACCCGAGATGTCTTCCACCGAGGAGACGGCCATTGGATTGACGCAACATCTAACTTTTTAGAAAACCAATGCTCTCGAGGGAGAAGAACAAAAGCTCACGACTGACGGGTAGAGAAGGGCCTTTGCGACACTGCGGAGAATTTCGTCTCAGGGGTGGAGATGAGAGTGTCTCCGAATCGAGCTTCGTGATGGTGGATGATGCTGGGGGACTTCAGCTCGTCAGTGATGAGGATGACGAGGCGACTGTGGAGGGGCATGCGGTAGATGAGGAAGGGACAGGGTAGTACTCGGCGAGAAGAACAAGGTGATGGACTTGGCTTTTCCGTGTGAAATTTTCGCATTTTCACTGAGAGAGTGGTATTGATTATTGCACAGAGTTGTATGCTGTTATTAGCGTAAATGATGGAGTTGAAGAGTCTGTAGAGGAAGGGCCTAAGAAGATGAGTAAGAGTAAGCAGAGGAGACTACGTCAGAAAGAGAAGGAGAGGCTTCATGGAGTATCGAGGCGAGTCAAAGAGAAGGAAGACACCAAACTAGGGCAGGAGGGGTCTCAAGAGCCGTCCGATGATAATGTGAGTATTTTGTATCATCATCATTATCATCTCACGTATTGTATGATCCCGCGCACGGGAGTTACGTATTGTAGTCTTGCCAAGTTGCTGGTAGTACCACTGTATATCACTTTAGGAGCCC